GGGGGCGGGGGACAAGTGGGGGGGCGGCGGCGGGGAAGCGGGGGGGCGGGGGACAAGTGGGGGGGCGGCGGCGGGGAAGCGGGGGGGCAGGGGACAAGGGGGGGCGGCGGCGGGGGGGCGGGGACAAGTGGGGGGGCGGCGGCGGGGAAGGGGGGCGCGGGGGACAAGTGGGGGGGCGGCGGCGGGGAAGCGGGGGGGCAGGGGACAAGGGGGGGCGGCGGCGGGGAAGCGGGGGGGCGGGGACAAGTGGGGGGGCGGGGGACAAGTGGGGGGGCGGCGGCGGGGAAGCGGGGGACAAGGGGGGGCGGCGGAGGGGGGGCGGGGGGGAAGCCGGGGGGGCGGAGGGGAAGCAGGAGCAGGAGACGGGGGTTGAAGGGTCGGCAAGGGTGGCGAGGGGGAGCGTGGGGCAGGCGGTGAGGGGGCCAGGGGGCAGGGAGGGACCCTGCAGAGTGGACAACTGGTTGATTCATCCCACAGGGACAGCCAAACCCCTAAGGTGCTCAGTCGTCATGTCCTTGAAACCTGACGACCCCAGTTCTGGGTTCCAGCACAACAGTGTGGTGGCCTTCATCAATGGGAAGATGGCCGGGCACACGAGAGGCCCTGAGTTCTACCTCGAGAATATATCCCTGTCCTGGGAGGAGGTGGAGAACAAGCTCAGGGACATCCTAGAGGACAGCACAGTGCCCAGCCAGGCCAAAGACGCCTGTGCCTGGAGCAGCCTGGCCCTGGGCGTGCGCTTTGCCCGCAGGCAGAGCCAGTTACATGGGCACAGGGTGCACTGGCTGCATGATTTTGCCAAACTGCATAAGTCTGCTGCAGAGGCCTTGGCCACAGACCTAAAGGAGTTCACAGAGCAGCAGGAGATGGAGCGCAAGGAGTCAGCCTTCCGGCTGCGGCAGACACAGGCAAACCTGGCGGAGATACAGAAGGAACAGAAGCTCCTGAGGTGGAAGCTCTTACAGGTTGTAAGATTATCTCTACTTGATCCCCACCCCATCTCCCTGCCCCGTCCCCAGAATGAGTTTCAACCCTGCTCTCCTGTCTCCCAACAGCTGGGGTGTACCAGGGAGCAGGGCCAAGCCTCAGAGGAGCCAGGCCTGGCCACCACCAGTGGGGCTGGGACAGAAGGGGCCTGTGAGGAGGAGGAGGAATCCCAAGCTGCTGCTACCTCTGTTACTGCTGCTGGTGCCACAGGAAGAGAAAGAAGACAGAAGGATGCACTGGGGGCAGAAGCCGCAGAGGAGCTGGGTGGAGGCCTCATGCACCTGGTTGGAGCCATGGACCAGAAAAATTACACCACTGGTGGGCAGAGGGAGGGAGAGCACAGGTCAGTGGAAACAGCCATGTTTTATTTCTCTAGGACCAGAGTCACACCACCACCCCTCCCTGTCCAGCTCCCTACCTCATTCACATACTCCTACTCATGCCCCTCATCCCCCTTCCCACCTGCACCCACACCCACACCCCCACCCGCACCCGCACCTGCACCTGCACCATCCCCACCAGCAGCAACATTCACAGCAGGAGCTCCATCTCAGACAACTCCCAAGAGGAGGCCCTCTGATGGTAGCCAGCGGTCTGATGGGGGGTCCCAGGGAACAGACCCTCAAGAATCCCAAAGAGACAGGAGAGATTCCAAACCCCGTCAGCAGAGAAGACCTCCCATATCTCGCAGGCCTGGGGATTGGGACTGCCCTTGGTGTAAAGCTGTGAATTTTTCAAGGAGGGAAATTTGCTACCGCTGTGGGAGGGGAATCTGGCTGCAAAGCCCTCGGTAATTTTAGAAATGTGAAACCCCTGAACAAAAACATATACCAATGGGAAATCAATTTTCAAGGTTGGGGGGAGGTGAAGGAGGAAACTGGGTGGAGTGGGGGGAGGGGATGGGTGGGAGGTGGGGTGGGAAGTGGAGAGGGTGTAGAGTGACAGGGAGAGACATGTTTTGATTGACCCCCTTTGTGTTCCAGAGCATTAGCATTCCACACCCCAAAAGCACTGTAGCTTCTGTTTGTATGTGTCTCCCTCCCCAACCCTTGTGTCTGGTGGACCCGAGCAGCCATGTATATGGCAACCCACCCCTCTCCCCACCTAGGCTGTATATGATTGGAGCAGGAGTGGCCACCTGACCCATCCTGAGCCAAACAGGTTCTCACACTAGAGAATGTGAACAGAGAGGCAGATTCCATAGTCAGGGTGGTGTTGGGTAAGGAAACAGTGGGTTATTTGGAGTTGGGGCCAAGGCCTGGTACTGGTTGTCAGGGAGCAGGACTGTGTCCTTTATAGAAGCCAAATGTCTTTTAGAGAATGCCAGAATGGGGTCCCAGGGAGCAGATAAGGCACAGAGAAGCAGCACAGGAGTTGATCCTGCAACCCTAAGAGTTGGAGAAATGGTAGCATGACCACTTTTCCATTCTCTGCAATTGTGCAATCGTGAAAATCCAATCTACACAGATCCCCATTTCTTTAAGCTAACTTGAGTGGGTTCCTGTTCTGGGCAACCAGGTTATTTCCAAGTCAGAAATTGGCACCAGAAGAGCAGTTACAAACCATAGGTTGTCAAAGAAACTGTCAGAACTTGGCTGGGGAGAAGTATCAGAGAGTTATGGGTATAGTGAGGATTCCTGCATCCTCACTGTTTCCAGGAATGAATTGGACAGGAAGCTTGTTCATGTTCTGATCAAGTTATATCATGAGAAACGATCAAAACAGGCCTGAGTTAACCCTGGGCTTACAACACAGCAGAGATTTGCCACTCCTAAGAAAATCTTTCAGATCTACAAACAGGGGACACCAGCACCAGGTGCAGACAAGGACTGCTATGGCTGTCTAGCTCCACAACAGGAGAACCCTCCCCAATCCCCAGTGGCAGAACTGGAAACTCCTGCCACTGCCTAAGAGGTGAGTCAGCAACTGATAGTGCCCAGAGGGTTTACTGGTTTAGACCACCGACCAGTGTGGTGCCATCCTGAGGGATTCTCTCTCCCAACCCACCACCAGAGTGATAGTGGGAGGGGAATCTGGCTACAAATCCCTCAGTGAATTCAGAAATGTAGAATAGAACATATCCTAAAGGGAAATCAATTTCCAGGGGGAGGGGGTAAACTGAGAAAGAGGGAGGGGAGAGGATGGTCTGTGTCTCCTTTCTCATGACTGTGAGTGGTGTTGAGGGAGGCTCAATGTATGGGTTAGCCCACAGATGGAAAGATGGTGAGGTTTCACACCTGGACCATAATAAGACAACTAGAAGAGCCCTGGATATTACCCAGGGACTCTCTTGACCTAGGGTCTGAAGCCGTCATGGCCCTGGGACATCTCTACAGCAGCCGGCTGTGACTCTGGGCTGTCTCCTATTGGGGCAGGTGTGGACAACCATCAGGGTTGGGGGCAAGAGCCCTAACTTGCATTTTCAGAAATACCTCTGGGCTCATTTATAGCCTTCTAGGGCAGGGCTCATCTATATCTTTCTAGGGTACTCTTGACACTTGAGAGTGAGTAATTCTTTGTTGCAGGGGGCTATCCAGTACACTGTAGGATGTTTGGCGGAATCCCTGGTCTCTACCCCCTAGGTGTCACAGCCAAAAATGTCTCCAGATATTGCCACACGTCCACTGGAGAGCAAAACTGCCACTGTTTGGGAACCATGGAGGCAAGGAGGTCCTTAGGAGCAGTCAGAACAGGGGGAAGGGAGGTGCAAGTAGAGCATATTCTGCAGTGCCCGTGGCTGCAGGGGAGACCCTAAGATAGGAGGTGAAAGGTGTTCACTGGGTCTGCTATTCACTTTTGATCTCTGAGCAGATCTAGGCTGGGGAGGGGCAGAAGCCAAACCACAAGGACTGGGGAGTAAATAGGAAGCAAGGAAGTGCAGTCAGGGCGAGCTCTTCGAGTAGTTCTGGCTGTGAAGGGAAGGAGTGGGGTTGGATACAGGGCTGAGAGAAGAGGGTTCTTTGGAACAGGGGAGAAACTTGAACCATGGGGAAGGAGACAGCTGAAGAAAGCGGAGGAGACAGACCCCCGCATACTGTATTGGAGGCATGTCCACTGTACTGTTCAATGAAAAAAAATAAGACAGCCAGTTTTGTGTGTGTGAAACAAAACCCCCCAAAGTTCTGTAACTCTGCATATGTATGATATGTATATTATAGATTTATATGTGCCTTTTGTTATTGATGTTATTGATTGATGTTTGACAAAGCATAGAAAAGGTCTGGAAAGACATTTAGCAAACAAGGTATTACCTAGGGAGGGTGAGATCAGGGTCAGGGGATGGTAAGCAGGAGGTGGGGTGTTGGGGATATAAAGTGGGGTGGGGTTTGTCTGGGACAATAGGGTGGAGGGCTTTTAGATCGTTATGTACTTATGTGTTGTGTAAAGTGAAATAAATGCTTACAAAAATAAAAAAAATGAATTTACTGGCTTGGGTAGGATTGGAAAGGCCGCCTCTTCCTCTGGGACAGAAGGGAAGGAGAGCAGACACTGATCTATGCGGTGAGGGGTTTGGAAACAAGGGGGCTTGTGCCTGTGTGCTCCTGATGCGGACTGACAAGCTGACAAGACACCTGAGAGTGAGCAAGAAATGAAGGGCAGGGCAGGGGCGGGGAGATTCTGAGCAATGGTACTTTGGGGAGTAACTACAGGGGATGGGGGTGAGACATGGAGGGAGAGAAAAAGATCACTGAGCTGCACGGAATGGGATGGGACCCAACAAAGAAAACCAAGGAGGACGACAGTGGGAATCTGGAAGGAGAAGGGGGGGTAGGTCCAGGAGGGGCACCAGACACAAATCTCTTAGATGCTTTAATCTGCTACCTACTCCTGCAGCAAAAATAGCACATACAAAAGGGGAAGAGGCTGGAGGGGCCAGCAGGGATCTGTGCCTGACTCTCTACCCCTTCTAGGTTCGTAGCATATCTTATCATTTGCTGTTCCAGTGTGGAGAAGCTGAGCACTAGTTATATTTTGTTTTCAGGTCCGAACAGTGCAGTTTCTAGCAACCTCATCTTTACCTTGCAAATACCTAAGTGTTTAAAGCAAAGTTCAACTTACTTCAGGTCTTTGATTTTACCGTATGGATTACGCAGTGCTTGGCAGGGCACGTGTAGCCGAGACACTGGCAAATTGCACAGCTGGAAGGACCTAAAAGAGATGAAAGAGCAAAAATAATTTACAACAAAATAGTTAAAATTTTAAGTAAAAGGTTAATTTTGGCTTCTGTCACCCTACTAGTATTCATTCACCCCTTCCAAAATCCTTAAGAGGTATTACCCCATTTTGCAGATAAGGAAATTAAGGCACAAAAAAGTTAAGATATTTGCCTAAGGTCACATAGGTAGGAACGGAATGGAGGTTAGCACTCAGGGCTGTCTGACTTCAAAGCCCAAGCCATGTTACTGTGTGCCAGGTACCAAGGTAAGCACTTTACATAGACAAATCATCTTATCAGGTCCTCAACACAGGGATGGATATTTTAATCATTTTGCAGATGCTCAGAGAAGTCAAGTAACTTGCCCAAGCTATCTTTATAATATAACTATTTCTTGGTTGTCAGTACTAATAGAAAAATTAACTATAATTGAAAACTAGAAAAGTTCATATGGTACTTTTATTTTTAATTATTTTTTATAAATTTTTTAAAGGTTTTATTTGACAGAAATAGGACAAGTAGGGGGGAGCAGCAGGGAGAGGGAGAAGCAGGCTCCCTGCCGATCAGGGAGCCCGATGTGGGGCTCAATCCCAAGACCCTGGGATCATGACCTGAGCCGAAGGCAGACGCCTAATGACTGAGCCACCCAGGTGCCCCTTCTTTTTAATTTTTTTGAGGAACACCCAAAGAAAACAAACACTAATTCAAAAATATATATGCACCCGTATGTTTAGAGCAGTATTATTTACAATAGCCACATTATGGAAGCCACCCAAGTGTCCATCGATGGATGGATGGATAAAGAAGATGTGGCAAATACATACAATGGAATATTAGCCATAAAAAAGAATGAAATCTTGCCATTTTGCAACAACATGGATGGGCCTAGAGGGTATTGTGCTAAGTGAAAGCAGAGAAAGACAAATACCACACAATTTCATATGTGGAATTTAAGAAATAAATGAACAAAGAAAAAAAGGCAAAAACAGACTCTTAAATGGAACAAATTGGTGGTTGCCAGAGGGGAGGTGGGTGGGGGATGGGTGAAATAGATGAAGGCGATTAAGAGTGCACTTCTGGTGATGAGCACTGAGTAGGGAATTGTTGAATCACTATACAGTACACCTGAAACTGTATGTCAATTATATTTGAACAACAAAAAAAACTAGAAAAGTTCAATAGTAAAATCTCAAGTCAACATGCTTATGAAAGGAATATTTTGGGTTAAATTTTGAAGAAAGTTTAACTCTGATAAAGGCAACAGGGTTAAGATAGGGACTCCCATTTAAGGCTGATTTTCTGGAAGTCTAGAATGAACCAGAAGCTCCTTTTTGTTTCCATCAGTGTTTAAAAATTCTCAGTGTATTTGTCCATTATTTTATTTTACAATATACATCTGGATTGAAACTGTCATGAATTTGTCAAGACACTAGACAAGGTCCTTTGTAATTCTGAGTCCATGTAACTTCTCTTACCCCTTCCACTCTAATCCCAAACACAACTCTTGCTGCACTTTCCTTCCCCCCCTCACCTCCCTTCAACACACATATCCCATGCTCATTTCTATCTCTAT